ACTACTACAGGTGCTGGTACTACTAAAACTGATAATACTACTACTAATATTACTACTGCTATTACTGGTGCTTAAAGTACAGTTACTACTGCTGCCACAGCCTGTACTGATACTACTGCTCCTACTGCTGCTCCCACTACTACTATTACCACTGCTAATACTGCCTCGACTGCCACTGTTAGTTACACAGCTACACCTTCTGCTAATGCTATACTGCTAATATTACTATTACGGGAACAAATACTGTAAACTACTATTGCCATTACTTCCACTACAACTTCTCCAAGGACATATACTACTGATGTTGCCACTAATATAACCAGCACTCTTATTGCAGCTCTTGAAACGTCCCTGAAGAGATCCGTCCAGCAGAACTGAGATCAGCCTTTCAATCCCATTTTCGTGTGCTTTCTCCTTATTCTTTTACAGTATATTCTTTACTTCCCCTTGCATTTTTATCACATGCTACTTTCTTGTTTTACTAAGACATGTTTATATTGTGAAAAAAATATATATATATAAATATAGAGCAGATGAGGTTGCTGTGAAACCAACAAATATGCATGTATATAACACTGCATGTGCAGATGGGATGGGTGTTTGTTTTTTTAACGATGGTGGTGGAGAGTGCCGTTAAACACGTTGCTGTGACTTTTTCATATTTATCAAACCATTCCGAGCTCTCGGGCTCTGTATGGAAACATTTGTTATGTTTCCCTGCTTCCACTGCATTTATCTTATCCTGCTAATAAATTGGGATGTCCAGTTAATTATTAAGATGGAGAATGCTGTTATGTAATTGGACAGAATAATCTTGAAAATAAAGGCCCGCTCTACAGGTTCACAGTGAGCAGATGCTCAGTGTGTATGGCTCAGTGTGTGCGGCTCAGTGTGTGCAGACGTGCTGGCTCTTACAGCACTGTGGTGAGCTGTATTGTTACATTTCTCCTGGGTTATTCGGTCTTTGGTGTGATTTGTTCTGCTGTAAATGTGCACACCCGGCATGAGTGCGCGAGCGTGTGGCAACACATATCTTAATAGACATCTTTGCACCATTTCTACTGTCCCATATGATGACACTAAATTTAATTAGTTTCCACAAACAGCTCATAGTTGACACAGACCAAATTGTTTCCTTATCTTTGCAGCAGAGTTTCAGTTTTTCACAAAGCTACTTTGAATTCTTTCACTTTCTGTGGTTCAAATAATTATTTGAAAATCTAGTGATACAGTGCATGACAAATCTAGTTTCTTTATTTCTAAAGAGGGAAATTTCCTTCTAAGGCATTAACAGGTAAGGGTGTGAGGTGATAAATCCCATACAGTTAGCTGAGTGGTATATTCAAGTACGGTCTTCCAATCACTGAGCGAACTCATCAAATCAAAGCTCCACTGCCTAAAGACATGGATGGTTGGGTCAAATACTGCCTGAAAATAATTCTTAGCTTTGGATTTAACCTACTTGGAGTGTCAGATGAAATGGGTCTGCCTTATGAGGTCTGGAGAGTCGGCCAAATGATAAAAAAAAAAGATATCAAAGTGACATCAAGACACTTTCCTGTGATTGTCTTAACTTCATGGTCTGAGGTATCAAGAAAATTCCATCTGACCCAAAACTACAGTGATATCACTCAGAGCACTGAACATATCGTACAAGCAAAACTATGACCTCCTCTTTATTTGTAAAAAAATCCCTTATAGAAAGTTACCCCTTGTCTTTCAGTAAACTAAAGCTCAGACATACTGTCGGTCTGTGCTCCAGTGTGCAGTGTGGAACATTCAACATTGAATATTCTATATATTTTTTTTTTACTGTCAACAAATACCTTCCCCAGCCTGTCATTGGCCCCAAGCCCATTTGTTCCTACTGAGGACGTAACTCTATAAAAAATGGGTCACAGATGCATCGTTTCTTTTTCAAAATAGACTAAATGATTTCCTAAATGGCAGCTGGGCACTGTAGTTTTTAGCAAGCGTGACTCAAACTGGGGGAAATGTTGCATTTGTTGGGGACTATTTCCAGCTGTGGATTGATACACATTTGATGCACTATAGTTATTTACAGCAGCCGAGTGTACAGGATTGAGTCACAACAAACTACAATGTTTGTTGTAGTGAAGTAACCCCTGGTGCAACAGAGTGGCTCATTAATGTGTTGAGCTCTGTGGCACAGAGGAACAGGCTTGGGGAGTAATGGATTACTTGTAACGCAGTAATGTGATCAAGATACAACAAAAGGTAACTGTAATCCAACACGGTTACCGAAAAAAATATGTAATCAGATTACGTTTGCATTTAGTAGAAATTGGCATTATTAGCAGGATTACAATTTTAAAATGCATTTAAAAATGCAGAATGATATAGGACCATGCACATGCGCAGTGCACACACATAACAAGGCTCATACACCACTCTGGTCTTGAGTGAAAACCATAGCTAATCTTATCAATTAATTATGGCCTCTAGTGGAAAAAAGGCTTTCACTGAGTGGAAATCTACCTTAATTCTGTCTTTCCAGAAGAAAGGGAACAATGTCACAGTACAGTGCAAGTTCTGCCTTCCAGCTGTGAAAATGCTCTATAGGCTACTAAGGGTGTCTGTAAAAATACACTGAGCAAAGGACACATGGTTCTGTTGTCTTATTGAATCTGTAAAAGACATCTTATTGATATTCCTTTTCTCTTGTTTTATTTGCATATTTGGTGTTGAGGTAATCCAGAAGTAATGGAAAGTAATCAAGTTACGTTACTTTAATATTGCGATACTCAGTTTAGGCTGCTGACTAAGGCTGACTAGGTAATTACTAACTGTACCAGATTACATTTTCAAAGTAACCCTCCCAACCCTGCAGGGAAATAAGCTATATCAGGCTTTGGATATGCAGACAGCATTTGTTAGGATGAGTTCATTGTTAGTTTATGGTCTTTTCATGGATTTTGGTGACATTAAGTAAAGTATAGAATATCACAATTCTTTAAGATAAGATTGATTTAGATCCATATGACAATATCTCAAATGAATGCAAAATGGTATATACAAAAATCTAACCACAATGCAATGAACTGTTCTGCTGCTGGTTCACAGGATTAACAAGTCTGTGAGTTTTTTGTTATAATGTGCCTGAATTTGTTCATTTAGACAGCAGATTGTGCATAATTATAACACAATATGCTCACATCGTCATGGCACAGTCCCACATACTATAAAATGACCTCGAGTTCTCACCTCACCTTGTCATCAGTACTTCTGAGGTGAGGTTGTGTGAGGAGGGTAATTTGGATTTTTCTTTCTTGCAATCAGCAGGACAAAAAACAATTCTCCTCCCTCTCTTTATTGCAGTCTGCTACAAGCACTGTCATGAAATAATTCCTGTCCAACTTGAGTCCAAACAGCTGTATGCTCATTCACCAGTGAATGCATGAATACAGGCGGTCTAATGGGAGCCCTCCCTGTACATTTTGCAGGAAAAGTCTGGCTGTCCTCTGAACTGTTCTTACTACTGTTGAGAGTATGATCATGCATAATAGCGGCCTGTTTCCTACAGAGGGGACACAGTCGGCTGCAGTGAATGTAACCACTTCACAGAACATGAATATTACAATGGCTCTCGTCGCTGTAGCCTAGAAACAACAGTGGATCCACCTTCGCTGCTCTGTGCTGTCGTCCCTTTTAAGTGTTGCCTGGCAAACTGGAGGACAGGCCTGGTGCATTAGTCCCCCCTCCCCTGCTAAAAGTCCTCATCTTGAATAACAGCATCTGACTCCCATAATGGACAGAGCGCATCTCTGTCACCTCTGCGTAAAGGCAAGTTCATTTCAAATGTTGCGACCACGTAACACAAACTCCTGATTGCTGATTGAAAGGTTGGATTCTAACTTGTTTTTGGTGCCACGCACATTTGAACTTATCCAATTAACTGCAACTTAATTCACCTCAGCTTCATTCGGTGTTGTGGTGATTAAAATGCAGAGAGAATGTGGTTTGTGTGTGGGGCGTAAACAAAGAGAAACTTAGTGGAGCTTCTGCACAGCTTGAAATAAATCTTTATGACGCAAATGCATCATCATAAGTAACGTCAAACTGATGTTTCCTTTGGGGGGGGGGGGGCGGGGGGCTTATCAAACAAATGCATTCGTGAAAACTCTATAGATTTAATTTCTTGTAGGTTTTCTTTCATGATCACTCTTTTTTCATTTACAGTCACTGGTTGTGAAGGACTTGTTTGTTCCCACTAAAATGTGCAATCTATAGAACAAACATTTAAACGGTGTATCAAATGTAAAAGGTGGACCCTGAGCAGTAGAAGAGGGTTTCAGTCGCTGAACTGTCGTCCTGCCTGCGGCGGCCGCACTCAGAGGAGCTGTCCTCTCAGCACCACAGCACTGAGTCCTGCTGCCTGTCCATCAGCCCCGTCCTCCTCCAACACAGCCCCGCGTCTTCCCTCTGCAAGCTCCTTAAAATAAACATCTCCGTGTCTAAGACCCTGAACTCCTCGTCTCTGTCAGACTTTGAGCTGCACCGTGGTGACGCACCGTTAAAGTTGAATCATAACGTACTCCAGCTGCACCGGAGGACCTGATCAGTGTTTGAACGGGGCGCGTTACGTCATTCCTCACTGTTATTTCGCAGTTAGGTGATTATTTATTATTTTTTTAGTAAGTGTAAATCCAAACGTCCTCCTGTTGTTTGACCGCGGTGACACACAGCTCCATCCTCGCAGGTCAGCCCCCCTTTGGACCAGCGAGTGAGAACTGCAACATGTTGCTTAAAAACTTTATGTTAAGACTTGCGGCACAATGTAAATATTTGTGATCAGGTCGGGTTGTTTGTGGCTGCTCTGAATACGAACATGTGCTTCCGCGTAATTGCTGCTTGCAGCCCGTTTTATTGCCTTGAAAATGTAATTGTCCTCATAATAACTCGTGTCCTGTTGCGCAACAGTGATAGTACACTGAGACGCACCTGTAATGATTATACTGGTTTTAGAGACTGGGACTTACCTATGGTGGTTATAACCGTGATGGCAAAGTAAAATGACCCTGCGAATTTCCACTGCACCCCGGCTCTGTGGGGCTCTGCCTCCATGATGATGGTTTCCAGTTTGCGGTAATCATCCTCGCTGATGTTATATTTCCCCTGGAGACGCTTCTCCTCGGCTTCCAGCTGCTCCTTTTCCCGCATCTCGAAGTCGGACTCCAGGGCGTCAAAGACAGCGGCCCCGACGAGCAGGTATGTGAACGTGCAAATGATCAGGGACAAGGTCCGCACGTTTTGCCGCTTCATGGCCAACAGGAACCGGCGACCGAGGGGCTCATGTCCCCTCGGATTCCCCGGGAAGGCGCAGCAAGCGTGGGGGAAGCCGTGTGGACAGCGCCTGGAGGCGGAGGCGCAGAAAGGTGCGCACCGGTGACGGTGGCCGCCGGAGTCGGAGCAGCGGTTGAACCCCCCCGCCTTGTTGTGATACCGGTGACAGAAGCCCAGATCCTGCTCCTGGTTTGCGGAGAGACACAAGAGACTGCTCGATCGCCTGGACCAGGAGCCCTGCAGCCGAAAGACCCTGCGCAAGACCTGCCCAAACCAAGTCCTCCCGGTGCGCAGTGCCATCAACAAGCTGCTTCCAAGATCGCCTGTTGGTCTCTGTTCTCCTCAAGTGAACTGTACTGGTGTAAATTAATTCTTCCAGCCAAATAAATGATCGCTGACGGATCCTTTCTTTCTGTTCTTTGATGCTTCCCTCTCACTTTGTCTGTGATAAAGATTTAAAATGTCCTATAACTGAGCATCTTTCCGCATGTCTCTAAGTTTCAGCTGAACACCAACCTGTTCATTGTAACCTCATCAGCAGGCGGGATATTTTTAGCAGCCATTCCCCACATACAAAAAAACCCATCTCTGTGAAATCCTTAAATCATCCTCGCAAACAGAGGACATCCTAATCACAAATGTGCTGAGTCGTCGATAAGACGGGAGGGTCACAGAGTATCGCAGAGGGACATCAAGTTGGGAAATGTTGCTCTCACAGTGCGCAGATCACCACATGAAACATCTCACAGCCTTTTTTTTCCCTTTTCAGCTGCTTTGCTCCAGGATCAACTCACCACTTGTTACAGGAATAAAAGAATATTCCAACAAATCATCGCCGACAACAGGTTCCATTGCCAAGAGTTTTCCCAAACGTATACATTTGTCTCAGACTGTGTAGAGGATGGAGCGCATGAGAAAGAAGATACTTTAGAGAAACAAACAACATTCATAAAAGGCTTCAGCGCGCTCCGTGCCCGCAGTGGCACTCATGCTCCGTTGCGCACGTCCAAACCCCCTCTCCCGCACTGTCTGCTGATCAGTCAGAGCTGCTTTTGGATAATGGAAAGATAAAATATATACATGAGTTTTCCCTCGTCGTGCGGGGGCCTCTGAGTTTAACCATGCGTGTTACGAACTGTTCGTATTTTGAAGGCTCCACATTTTATGTCTCCACACACTCCAGACTCTAATCGGTGGGCGTTGCTCCTCCTGTCTCTGTGTTTTTCTCTGTTTCCAAGTGTCACGAATCATCCAAATCTTGGCCTGAGGATCTGCCTCTTACTCTAGGAAGCTTTCTCTGCTGGGGCGCAACTGACTGCCCCCCGCCCCCCTCACACCGCGCGACCCCTCCCACAGTGACCACTCCTACTCATTGTATGGACAGAGAGGGTTCACTCAGATGGTCACATCAGTGCTTTCAGTGGGAAATCTGCGCTCCAGTCCGGGATGAGCCGCGCAGGCTGCTGCGCTGTCCGTGGTGCTGAAGGCGGACAGACCGATGCACTGCTGCGCGCGATACAGTCCAAGTTACTGCGCACACACAGTTTGAGGGATCATAGAGACACTTCTCCTGCTACAGGGAGGAATACACACACATTTTTACAGACAGTCCAGCCTGAAGAAACAAGGCTGGATTACCACCTGGGCTGAGCAGGCAGCTACTCCCAAACCCTGGCCAAGGGCCCCAAAGGCTCCAGGTTCACAGTGTAACAAGTATATTGTGCTGATTTTATTATTTTCTAATACAGTGAAGCACAACAGAAAGTGAAGTGATAAGGGCCTTAAGGTAACACCTGATTATGATCTGATTCTCAGGCCCCAAAACCTATTAATTTACTTTTTCACTTGAGACAGAAAAATGATTGGTTGGTTTATTAATCATTATTATAGTCTAAGATGTTTTATTGGAGTGTTATTTCTTATTTGGATTCTATTCAGTGTATCTAACTGGAATTGTTTTAATTATACGTCAATGAAACATTGCACTGTATGCAAAAGAAATGGATGCAGCCACAAATTTACAATTTGAGTTCAACAATTATTCTTTTTTTCTCTTTAAACATCTCAAAACATTTTCAGTGCACATGAAATGCACTTTCCCTGAGTTCACAAGCATTATATAATTTTAATGTTGTAATGTATGTATGTTATAATGAAAAAAGTTTCAGAATTTTTAAATTGCCATATTTTAAATGTGTAATCAAAAATGTAATCAAGCGATCCTTGACGACATAACTAGAATCGAATTATACCATTTTTGAAATGTAGTCCGGGCTCATTGGTTACTTATTTTTTGTAATCTGATTAATTAATCCCAACTATATGCAAGCCATTACTAACCAGCAATGATGGGAAAAAAATATTAAAGATTCATATTGGAGTCAACCTGAAATGTATAGTTCTATACGTTTATAGCATCCCAAAGTAGAGCACTGGAGCGACAGACGGACTGATGATGTCTCATTTTATATGTGTTCCACTATTGGTTATTGGGATTTACATTTCCGTGTTTCCACAGTTCTATTATTGTTGTACAGTTAAGATAAAATGTGGTTAGTGAGATGTGTGTTCGTGACTTGTTCCCCAATGAGAATTCATATAGCAGACTGAGTCAGATTCAAGAGATAGAGGCAAAACACTGACTCATTCTGTTGTCCTTTTAAGTACTTTTGGGCATTTTATGACTTTACTGATAGGAGACAGTAGAGAGATGATGGGAAACGAAAGATGGGGTATGACATGCAACAAAGGACCCCCAGGCGGACACGAAGTGAGGATGTCAACCTCTACACCACCAGGGTGCTCCAGCTCGTACTGTTGTCTTTAGTCAGGACACTGAAGCTCAGTTTGCTCTTGATGAGCAAGCCAGGGCTGCACTCTGTATATATACAGAGACTGTATATGATCACATCTTTGAAATTATCTATTACAATTTTAACAAATCGCTCACCCAACTCTGTCAAAATAGTTTCCACTGACTTAGAAAAATGCAGTTTCGGTTAGATGAAATTAAAATGTGTTGATTCAAGTTGAACATATTTAGCGTGAATCATTACTTCCATTTTTAAAAGTTGAGTCAATGTTAAAAATATTCAATGTATATTGCACTGAACTGGTGCATCTTGCTAAATAAATTACTTCTTAATAAAGTTTCTTCTGACATTATACACACACAATGCACACAGAATAGGAGAAGTGAGTGGTATCAGTAGGGGCAGTTCATTTTTGCCTCGGATCCCCCAATTTGACAAATATGAAGAGTCCGTTCTGTGGCCAGTTTCAAATCTCAAAGTGCTCTTGAGCTAGGCAGTTAATCCCCTTGCTGCTGCAGGACTGTTGTTACATAACCAACACATGATCTTGACATCTGAATTTACTCCTGTCATAAACAGAGGACAGAATTGAGAGTTGAAGGTTTCAGTTCAGTAAAATACAAAAAATCTTGATGATGATAGAACATTCTCTCCAACAGTGACATAGTGTCTTCTTCAGATTTTATGTAACTTACATGGAGTATAGGTTCTCATTAAAGCTGCAGTAGGTAACTTTTCTGTCATATTTGGTAATATCAGTGTTATTCACTTCACCTGTCAGTGCTCATAATGTTATGGCTGATTGCTGTATATTATTAATGCAATGAAATAAAATAAAAAATCTTACCTTAATTCAACTTAATTTTACTTTATTCATTGCTTGTATAACATATCATTTGTCCTCTGGTATAAACTTTAAAAACCCTCACATCTTATAGATGGAGTTGTTTGATCTCTATGGAGCCCTTTAACATTTAATCAGGATCATGTAGCAATTTAGTATTGCACTGCCTTATAACTGCCTTCTTTAAATCGATAGTTCCAAAATTAGCATAATACTCTAAGTATTATACTAATTATTAACATTAGACTCCAGATGCCATAAAATATTTTTTATCCTTGAATATGTTTCATCTATTTTGTTCTGGATTCTCTCTTCCCCATGTATCTTGCAAGTTTGAAAATGACATAGATTTTCTGGAAAAGCTGTAAAACTCTAAACCTGGAAGAGAATGAGACACCTGGTTCATGTGCTGTCCACAATTTGGGCCACCTCATAACAGATTATTACTGGGGACCGTACAGGGGTAAACAGGACCTCAGAATAGTTCTCATACTCATTATAAATAGTACCAATGAAAACTGGCATCTACCTCTAATAATCCACCCAGAATAATCCCATACTGTACACATAATGCCAGTGACTGGTCTCCATGGTCCCTCACCTCTTCGACCTGATGCAAATGTTCTGCTACTTTTCTCCTTTTTACTGGGAGATAATCAGAGAATAAATCCATAAAATCATATCCTGGGCTGGCCTCTTCCAGCACTCATACATCCTGGGCCAAAACCTCAACAATGTGGCCACTAATTTAAAATGTATCATCCATTATGTTAATTGCACTTCCACATGCAAAGTATACGATTTATACTTTTTATATCATTGAATGGGACACAGATAGTAGTCATCAAACGTTATTTGGGTTATTTAAGTGAGGTTTGGTCTTCCAATAGCTGAATAATTTATATATATTTGTTCACATTTTATCTTAGGTGCCTTTTTACGTCCAAAATTTGGGTGGAAGAAAACTGGAGTACCTCTAGAGTAAACAGGGGGATTAGAAAAGCAAATGAAAAAGCTTTAATCAACTTCTGAATTACTAATGTGGAGTTTTATACACACTGATTTCCACTTCTGTAAGCTTTTAAAGGTTTGTCACAAAGGACTTTAGGGAAGCGCTTTTCCTGTCCGCCTAATTTTAGCTTTGAAATGAATCTCTGCAAATTGCCCGTCATCTCCGAGAAAAACATACTCATGTGCGCAGATATGAGCACTAACAGGAACAAGCTTGTCTCAGAAGTTGAGGGCACGCAGTAGCCAACACATCGACCAGAGTGTTTCATAAATGCAGCCATTTAAGAGTCTAAACAGCTCCACTAATCAACAGCGTCTGGATCTGTAACTGCTCTATATTTAGCTCCCCTTTTCTCACATCTAAACTCCCCGCTCAGCCCACCTACAGAACTCCTAATGCATTTCTGGAGAAGCTCAGAGAGAAAAGTTTAATAATGGCAACTGCTTAGATTAGTCTCCATGGTAATGACACCGAACTTACAGTACGATCGCTCTTCTCATCACACAGGCCTGCATAGACAGAACAATCTTTTGTGAGGGCTGCATGATGGCACAGCTTCTCTACATATGATCTGAACTGACAGCAGCGACATCAGACACGAACAATTAGGATTGATGAATGAGAGAAGTTGAAGCTTCAGGACAGCTGGATTAACTGACTGATAGCTGAGTGCTTCTCAGTTCTGGTTGCATGAGCCCAGTCTGGAGATAAATCTTTGTCTTTTAACTGATTTGTACTTGCAGACGCTCTGGATAGACTGAGACCTAGCCAGACTGACAACAGGCCTGTAGCGTAGGTGTATACCCAATATCTAAAATAGAGACAGGAGGATAATTACAGTTCTTAACCTATAAATACACTGATGCAAACAACTCTGAGAGTTAGCCCAGATAGGTTGCGACCCACGGATAAAAAGAAAACACAATCCATCAATTTAGTTTCATCAATTAAATTGTTCACACTAAATTATAATCAAACACATAAGTACCTCAGTCACAAAACGCACATTAAATCAACAGAAACCACATTCAGACAGTCCTGATGAGAAAATCAAACGTCCCTTAATTAAATAAATTAAATAAAGACTCCAGATAATTGTCAGTCTTTCACGTCATAAGACGATGTGTGAGATTGTGTGTGTGTGTGTGTGTGTGTGTGTGTGTGCTGTGTGTGTGTTGGAGGTGGTGAGTTCAGGGGGAAAGCAGTTTGAAGGTCCTTCAGAATGAATTCAGTGCAGTCAGTTGTGCTTTTTTGTGTTTGGGGGGGGGGGCTTTAATGTCCAGACATGAAGATGAGGGGTGCATTTACATTTAGGTGGGGCGAGATAATAGAGGAAGCCTGGAGAGTTGTAGAAAAGAAGACTTATCTGAACTTCCGTAGGTCCAACCAAGCCGAAGAACTTCCACTGTCCACGGCTGTATCCGAGAATGCCAAAGAGGTAGCTGAATCCGCTCCATCCAAACCCTCCCCAGGGCTCATCTTATTTCCAGCAGTGCCTTGTTGTCCAGGAAAAGTTCAGCTGGTTCTGGAAACAATGCCACTGTCTGTACTTTTATATATGTCACAGTTTTTTTATGCCCAGAAACTGGATTATACTTCATAACTATCTCCTCCTTTGAGCTACTCTCCATGCTGCTTTCCCCTCCTCTTCCAGCTCACACGTGTGTCTAATTTATCTTCTTCCTTCCCTGTCTGGGTGGAAAAGGGCTACTCTGTATGTTTTCTTTTCCCCCTTTTGCTCAGGCCTACCTAATCAAATAAGGGTGGCATTTATTCTTGATTATTATGCCAAAAGTAGGCTACATACAAAATAAAACAATGAACATTCAATAATACAGTTACAATAGAAAGTACCAACAAAATTAAAATAAATAAGCTTGTGTGGGCAAAATATTGTATTGACAAAATATCCTGCCCGGGCCACCCCAGGATACGCCCCTGGTTGGAGGAGAGTGGATACAGATGTGTAATTTGTGATTTTCCTCAATTTTTATTGGCTAAAATTTAAATCAATGTTTTCTCACAGTCATTGACTCTGTTTGTTTTCACACATACAAGAGATACCAAGAAACTCTCTTTTTTCTGGGTCTCTACCTTTAAATTTAAAGCATGGAAGTTCATTGCTGAACTAATAGTAGTTTGACAAAACAACCAAGATCAGCTAACTAGCTTTTCTGGAGCTTTCCGCTGCACTTCACAGTCTTCAAAATAAAACCATGTGATGACAACAGAGCAAAGTCCATCCACTGATAAAGACCATGAGGTCTAGCTGAAATTTATTTTCACCAGCAATAAATAAATTGCTACTACACATAATGGAGCTTTGGTTCAGTGGTTTGGGAGTAAACATTAGGTTAAAGACACATTTTGTCCTTTTTAAATATTTATTGTGATAAAGGTTCATGTTCTGACATGGAACGTATAGTGAACTAGGTGAAAAAGTCATTTGCCATTTCATGGAGACTTTAACTGGGAGAAGCATGCTTACATAAGCTGCAGTCCCATTTCAGACTTCAGGTTTGGTTTATTTCACGTTGACCAGCTCGTGTGCCGTTGCAGATAGAGTATTAATTCAGTCAGAGTGGATCAGTAAACACGCAGTGGATGAGATTTCCTGTACGTTCCTCTGCCAGGTTTTTCCCTGCAGTGCTACAAGGCGTGCGAGTAAAAGAGCAGCGCAGGTGTCAAATCGCTCGTCTTTCTTCAGCACACACCCTAATCCCCCCACAACCCCTTCACAGCTCCACTCCCGACATCATTTACATATCAAGGTTGCAGATATATATGAATGGACACGACTTACCACTCAATACTGAAAGTGAGGAGAAAGGGATTTAATTGAACTCTGGCTTCTTGGAGATTCATTTGCATGAATGTTTTCATGCAGAGTGAGACACCGTACAGTCTCCAGAGCTCCAGGGGATTTCTTTGCCACTAAATAAAAGGCTCTTGTTTGCTCTCCAACAACTCATTTTCCTAACTGTTGTAACTGCCCAATATCAGGCAGAGAGGAGATGCATCAGCACAGATTGATGGATGGTTATTAGGATGATTACAATCAGAATTACAGGTTTGCTGCAGGGTAATGAAGGTTGGTGGCTAATAATGCAGAGTTGATTTTCTGATAAGAAACCTCATTTAAACTCAAGACAAGATGTTTCGTCTCTTCTGGGTGTCCTCAGTTTTGGGGAGGTCAGCTTTCTGTTTGGGGTGAAATGTGTGAAGAACCACAGAAATAATATCTGTAAGAAAATTTAATGTAAGGAAGGTTGCATCAGATCTGTGAGGAGCGATTAAGGACGTATTATAGAGCCCTGGGAGCGATGAGACTGACGGAGTGAAAACAGCTGATCAGTGATGTGAGTTAAATGTTTGCTACGTCAGAACTTATTTGGAAATAGTTTTTCCACCTCCATCTCTTTTTCAAAAAAGGCAAAAACACACAAACAAACAAAACCTGCAAGTGAGTGTAAAAACGTTTTTTGTGAAATTGAGGACATTTTTACAATTTTGCAGTTTCCATCCAACTTTTCTTTTCTTTGCACTGATGGGAACAAGTTGCTCTCGATGTCATGTTGTATTTTTTCTTTCATGAACGTTTTACACAAGCATTTTAAAGACATTTTAAAGCTGCTCAGAAGGTAATTTATGGTGGAAGAGGAAGTACTCATTTGAAGTACATTTGACTCCGCCTGCAAAACAATTCTTCTGTTGCTCCAAAAATAGCTTTTTTCAGGTTTAAAAAAATAAAAGTTATCTGAAAAGTTATTTTGTAGTTTGAATAGTCCTGTTATTATTTCCATTGACGTCTCTTTTATAATAGTGGTAGTTTTTATTAATATTTCTATTGCAGTACCACATTCGTCCACTAAGCTACGCTGATGACAAGCCTGACCCGCTGTATGAAGTTCTCTTAATACGTCCATGCATTTACTGTGCAGAGAATGTCCAACCAAAAAGACACTGCGAGATGAGCTCAACTCTTCCATAGCAGGAAACAATAGCGGCTCGCCTGGTCACACATGATCTCGTATTACTAAAATATGTTTCTGAAATGAAGAGAGAACAAAAAAGTGGATCCATATTGATCAGCACTGCATAGTTTGACAGTTTGATCTGAGTTTGGTGCGCTGCGCTGGACAGACTCGCTGAGAGTGACCTGTCAATCATTAGGTAACCACGCCCAAAAGCATTATCTGCTTTATCGTCTATTTTAGTCTTAATGGGACCATCCTTTACTAAATGAAAATCATTAGATTAGAAGAAGACTACAACTAGAGATTGAGACGATAAACTCATTAGGAAACGGTTTACTGAGCTCATAAATAAAGTGAGAAGCTGGGTCATATCTCCATAAGACTCCATGGTATCTGTGTTTGATTGCAGCCAATGGAGCTGCCCCCTGCTGGCCATTACAGAGAATTTATTTTAAGACACATCTGTGTTGGTTTCCATTTCCCAGACCCGGAAGCTCTGTCCATTATACACTGTCAATGCTTGGTCCCCAACATCGCTGATATCTCTTACTGACTGTAAAATTGTAATCTGCAAAGAACTGAGTCATCAGATAATGTAGTTGAGTTAAAGGAATAACTGAGTAAACATAAACATACAAATAAGCATGGGAGGGAACAGTGAAGTGCATTACAGAATATTTAGTATTTTTTATCAACCAGGTCACTCTGTGATGTTTTATTGAAATAACAAGGAAGAAAAAAACACTGAATGTTGGTGAACCCTGAACGGGGTGCTAACATGCTGCTGGAGATGTTTTAGTTTTTTTGTTGTGAAGTTTCAGTTCTTTACTTCCTCTGCACAGAGAGGCGCCTGTGACAGGCCCCAGAAATGAATTAGCGTAAATAAGGTGAATCTGTGTTACGATTAGTGAGGATAGGACACTCTTAATTGCAGCCACACTGTAATTTAGGCCTATAAGATGGAGTTACCTTTACTGAATAAGGCAGTCACAGGCATCAGTAAACAATATGCAAAAGGCAGAATTTGCATTTGAGAAGCGAGTTCACACAGACAGCAGCACAGGGTCCACACTTAAGACAAATCTAGTTTTATTGTTGTGTGCAGGAGTCTACCCGCATAGAGTTGCTTTTCATGTTTACCAATTTGACTTTCATAGTCAGCACACACACACACACACACACACACACACACACACACACACACACGCTCTATTCTTTATCAAATAAATAAATAGATAAACAAATTAATAACCGTGGAGGGCATGACTTTGGAATTGTTTGCGTTGCATGCATAACTGATGAACTCTGTGGATTCACTGATGTATGATCCACATTTACTACGAGTGGAAAAGCTGTTAGTCACTGACCTTCATGGGGAGACATCACTGGAGTCAGAAAAAAGATGCTTGTCATTTCTTGTTCTTTTACTGCCATCAAATGTGTTTCACACGTCAGAAATTCCTGATATTTTACAGAATTACACTGAAAGAGGTATTACACAAAATCTGGTCAGGAGACTGCAGAGTTAAACCTTTCAAAGCCCCATGAAACCTGAGGCCTCCTAACCCGCCTCAAGACATTTCAGCCTTTGGAATGGCTAATCTTCCTCCAGTATCTTCTCATCACCCAGTTCACATGTTCGGTCCCCCAGTGAGGTGATGAAGGAAGGGCATGCACCTTCCTATATTAGCTACTGCTGAGACCAGTGGCCACCAGAGGGGAAGTGAGAGTGTTACTGGAAGATTCAGGCTCCCAGATGGATAATAAGTAATACCTCTCCCTTCAGTGCACCAGAAGTGCTGTGGTTAAGCCGGTTAACTCCCAGTGCATAAGAAAGTAGTGAGTTCTTTTTCCTACCGTTCGTGATGAACTGCAAGATTTCACTGGACAACAGCATGTTGTTCAGTCACCTTTCCCTGTATAAGTAATGATTTTTAGTCATTAATGTTTTCCTCAGTAATCACCGTTTATGGATTTTGGTGTTTGTGAATGTCAGACTTGAGTTTCCCAAAATGCTGAGACAATAAAGGTCATCACAGTAGGCAGGAAATAAAGATGACCACAAATTCAAAGTGTTGGAATAATGGCAACTTAAACAAAGGTTGCCTTCTTTTAACATTTATTTACAACAATAATAGGCCACACATAATGATAGGCTAATCTAAGACGGTAAAATTCATCAGTAATTCAGTGTAGTGGCACAGAGGCAGGAGGGACTGTCCATACAGCAGTAGAAATAAATACATTAGAAGCGTACATAAGTGGCTATAGATTCTGGCTAACCACGTTTCCAGTGTTGGTGTGCAGCTTTGAGGTCTTCTCTCCCATAACACTACTTTTCTTTCAACAGATATCTCAATCAAAATAGAAGGTAGCAAAAGAATCCACTGAGAATACGGCACCGTGATTCAAAAATCAATCTGCTGAACATAAGAAAAGAAGTGACAATGATATTAGAAGGTGGACGTTTGCTTATTTCCCGCTAAATAGTTGGTGCTGGAAGCTTGGTAACATAGCATTAGTTACGACTGCTCTAGCTAGCTCGTAACAGGCTGCTGTTAGCCAGCATCAAACACCTCGCCAAGTTAGCTTGCTAGCTAGAAGTTTGCTAACTATCAGTTAGCAAACTATCACAGCTAGCACAGCACAAACTAGACCTTTAACTTACAGAGTTAAAGGTGCGGTACGCAGTTCTGGAGAAATCCAATACCATGACAAATACTATGATACAGAGCGAACAATGACAAGTAAGGAAAATAACGTTAGCTAGGTTGTAGGTTTGCAAACCGTCACTAAAGTGTCAGCTGTGAAGCTAACACGCAGAGAGGATGACACAGCATTTCTACTAGAAACTAGCTGGAGTCATTTAACGTTACCTGGCACACAAACCTTGGCAATGGCTGAAATTAAGTAACGGTGTTGGTCTAATCCATTTTGGTTGTTTCCCATTTTATCAGTGCACACACAGAACAGAAAGCTTCCCAACGTGAGCAGATATTTGCTGAATTAAAAAAAAAAAAAACATGTATTGGGATTAGAATCGAACCTTGAATCGCTTACCCCACCTTTAATTCCAGGAAATGCAATCCTAGCATCCATTATTGTCTCACACTTGCAAACCATAATAACCATAATGCATCTCTTCAGCAGAACAGTTTGCACTCCGGCAGAGCAGCGTAAAATAACATGGTGCAAGCTAGTAAGATACCTATCTCCATTTTGGACTGTCTGGCTCCATTTCCTCATAAATCAGCATTGTCAGTTGCTATTGATCAACGTTAAACTCGACATGAAAGCACAATTTACTTTACCTCCAGGGGTTAGTTCCACTGAAATTAATTGGTTTAGGTCCAAGCCTTTAAGATGTGTTCAGAAAAAAGAATTTTGCCTCGCACTACACACAGGACAGTATTTTTAAACAGCAGCCAAATGTACAGATATTAGCCGTATCATTAGCTACATAGCAACACTCACACTGACAATGTGCACGAGAATGTCTGTGTGAGTTGGTGCTCTAAGATATCAGATCTCCCCACAAACTCCACTTGTTTCTGTCATTTTTCTCCTCGTCTCTGTATGTTTACAGAGTCGATTCATAAAGCCTCGGGATGAGCTCTATTCTTAACTCAAATTAAAGATTCACTTTACGTTCTGTCCGAACACCTCGACACACTGGTGGACTGTAACAAAGCACTCAAGTGTTTTGATTTGAAATCCCCCTCGCACTCCACGGCACACATGCTGGAACATTTAACAAAATGATATTTACATGTGTGTATTTACAGAGAAGATCAACAATAACCATCCTTCATTCAGAGCCCTTAGGCCCCGGCCTGTAGCGGAGTGTCCATGGCTCGGATGTGGACACTGGGCAGAGTGAACCAAGCTAAAGGAAGCTCCCGTCCAGCGCTGTCATCCTGGAACTTGATATTAAGGTAGAAATCTCCAGTGTAGAGGAAGAGCAGGGCACCCACGCAGACGGAGCTTTCTTTGGGTTTAACCTGGTGACGGCAAAGACAAACAGCCAGCAGTAAGAATCATTAGCAGCCCCCTTTCAGTGGTTTTACAATGAACCTGGCACACTGTCAGCCAGAGTGAAGCCAGCAGGAGAGGAAGTTCGACGCTGACTGTGGCTTTGATGAAAAGGTATAAAAAACGGGTTACAACGTTTCCTCCTTCAGATGAGAACATTTCCCAAAATTAAGTTGTTTTGCACATTCAGGAATTTGGGGAATTATTTCATCTGCTTAGACTAAAACACCTTTGTTCTGGCATCAACCAAGTCGTTTTTAATCGCCTTCAGCTTGTGCAACATCCAGGAGTGAGAATTTGTTACAAAGCCTGCCTTCTGATAAGGTTCTTTTTAAGTTAAAGATTTCAGCCACAAGCTTTAAAGGGCTGCATCGGTGTTCTTGTTGTTTTAGTTTATTTTACTAAGTGATTCAGAATGGTTTCCTTGTCTGCTGGAGAGCTGCTGGTTTCTCTTCATTTCAAGTCACAATTTACAGTGAGTGGAGTTATGTCATCCAGCATGTCTGCCTCTATTGAGTAACATTAATGTATATGTTATAATCTAACCCACAATGTTAATACAACTTTGACAAAACAAAAAGCAGCTATGGTTATGTAACTTAAGTTAATTATTATTATTATTATTAGTATTATTATTTTCTCACAGCCTAGATGTTTAGAATCCTTGCACATTAAATGCTGAATAACTTGTGTTTGAAACCTTTAGCTGGAACTTGACAGCTTGACAATAACTGTGGACGGCATTATTAGTGCATTCTGTGTGACCTCTGCTACTCTGAGCTGCAAGCAGACACAACAATTGCTAGTTTATCTTTAAGTGTAATCCTGTGACACCCCGAAGCATTCTGGTTATATAATGTGACATAACATGAAGACAGTACACCAGCCCGCACTGACCGTGTCGATGTAGAAGGTGTTAGAGCCGATGAAGGTGACGGCGTCCTCCAAATCGTAGTTCTGGACTCCGTTCTGGAAGTCCTGATAGGGCACCACAGTGAGAGCCAGGGGCCCCACTGAATTCTTGCTCAGATTGGTCAGTTTTACCTCCAGGCTCACAGCGTCACCCACTTTACAGTCGGCAATGACATCGCAGTCACATGGCTTTCCATTCACCAACACATCTGGAAACATGAAAAAAAAGAAAAGAAAGGAGGGGATTAGCAGGACCACAGGGGACGAGTCTTCTATCTAACATTTTGCACAGAAATGAAACTCTGCAGAAATTGTTTGAAACAAGTATTAAGACCTTTCAAACCCACATTTAAATCTCATAAACGCTCATTCACAGGATTCTCATCCAATCTCCACTTCATTTGTATTCATCAAAACCCGAGCTGACCATTAATGGCCTATCATACTGCTGCTGGTGGAGGATCAATAGGCTTTGTTTGTCCTAAAATACATTTTATTGACATCAGTGGAGAGTGCCGGAGCTCTGGGTATTAAACTGAATTCCCTCCTGTTAATCTCATGCATGACTAATTTCTGTCAAGAAGGGACGAATGAGATTGTTGGAACAATCCCAGAGTGCCACACACACACACACACACACACACACACACACACACACACACACACACACACACACACACACACACACACACACTCTGAAGTACATTTCTCTATTCTCACACAGCTACACCTCCCTCTCTCCTGTCACAGCCAACCAAGAGACACTGAGTGAGTTCAATTCAATTCTGCTAATGTGGGGCCACTCGCTCCTGATGTGGCCCCTATTTGGCTAAGGTGCAGAGGGAGACATGAAGATTTGTTTTGAACAACGAGCTCAGTGAACTGAGCTCCCGCACGCTCCTGGCGGGCTGAGGAGATGGCTGACTCCAAACATGGGGGATTCAGGGGGCTCGAAGAGATCACCCGAGTAATGAGTCCTACGAGAACAACGGCGGCGTACACACACACGCAGGCGCACACAAACCGGTTGTCATACGCTTTCGAGTGTCACGCCCGTGGCTGTGATAAACACTGTGAGTCAGGGCGCCTGAGCCTGCGTGACAGCCTGATGAAAGAGCTGCGAGCTCCGTTCAGTGCCGCCGGTGTGCCGATCTGTTGCGTACAGAAGCGAGGGGTGGGGGTCGAGGATAGGGGTAGGAAGATAGACAGACAATCCAGCAGGAGGGAGTGTGGGAGGGGGGGAGGCGGCGGTGGGTGTGGGTGGCTGAGGCCGTGCTGTCACAGTCAGTGGGAGAGCCCCTGGAGGCTGCAGCTACAGGAGGGTGACATTCAGCTCCACGTCTGTATTAAAAAAACACTTCACTCAACACAGTCAACCAGCAGCACTCACCGAGGGGCTCAGCACAGGGGTTGCTTTGTTTCTCAAGATTTTCCTTACAAAAATAAGAAAGAAATGTTTCCAGATCTGGAATCAGTTTGCTGATTTTTAAAAGGTTCTTTATTAGTCAATAAATTCACTGTGAAAAAGGAATCTCAAGAAAGTAAAAAAGCCTTCTTTCTGAGAAATGGATCTCATTTTTTGCATTAAACAAAAAAAAAAAATTGTGTCAAGCATGATTTGCATTAGAAAAGTAATCTGGTTTTAATAAAATATATCTTTGTCTTAATAAGATATTACAGCTAATATTGAACTAGATAGAACCAGTAACAAGTTACAGCAATGGTCTGCATAATATCCCAGCAGAGGAACAAGATTAATTTCCTTATTTTAAGAGTAAAACCATTCCCAGTGTTGTAAATGAAGCAGCGGTTTAGTTTTTTATTGTTTTAATAAAAAACGCTAACAATAAGAATGCTTCTGGTGCCTTCATGTAAGAGAAACTTACTTATTTTATTATTATTATTATTATTATTTATATTAGTATTATTATGCAGTTTAAATAAATTCTGTCTTATTGTAATTTTTTATTAATCTCAGATTTAGGTACAAATTAAATTCAGTAAAGTGACCAAAATATTTCTTTTAAGAAAGTCTATCTTAAATAATTGAGTTTTCATTGCTTGTAAAAAGCACAACTTGCTTTAATGTTTTGTTTTTTTTATATATAGTTTTATGGTACATTACAGTGTCTAGATCCTAGACAGATCCTTATGCTAGTTTTAATAATTCTAGCAAAAATTGGCTTACCCTATAGGCAGAATCTTTTCTAAATACAAGGACATTTTATTATATATAAGAATATTTGGCTTTCTGAAGGGTTTTAGCAGCGTGTTACATCCTGTACATTATTCATCATACTACCAAACTGATTCTGTCATATTGCCACGCATATAAGTTAATATATAAATTAATAAATCAATTATTGGCACTTATTATTGCTGTTGGTATCATCAGCTTTAGGTCAGGAACAGAAGTAAGAAAGACCAGAGTTCCTGATATGTCATATTCACTATATATATGCAGGGTTGCATATTGAACCTCAACTGAAATGTGTCCATAACTTTGAGTATTAACAACAGTCAGATCAGGACTTATTTAACTGAGGTATTATATTGAGACAAACAATTTCCATTGATATCTTCTACATGAACCATAAGAGAACAATACTGTGACTGAATGTTGTACAGCATCCCAGGAGTTATTAAATACTGCCGTATACTGCCAGTGTGAAGACGTAAAGATCAGTCTCTGTAGTCATTATTATTCATTTCATTACAAACTCTGTAAAGTGAATGGAATATCACATTATATTTACATTTACCATAGAGGCCAGTACTGCCATTTGTCATTTGTCATTTTGGCAAATACAACATCTACATCCATTACAAGCTGAGGTGTTATATCTTCTCAGTTTTAGGTGGATTATCAGTCTTACATTTTTCAATATTTCTGTAGTTTTGTGCATTGATCTCATGAATTGAATGCCAGAAGTGGATAATCTTTCCTACTTTTTTTACTGGCTGATTTTAGATAAACTGTTGGCTTTGACACAGTCTACCCGAGGCAGCAAAGAATTCAAAAGGGAGAGAGACCAAATCACTCAGAGATGAGGTCCTTTAGAAGATTCAGCTACTTTTGGACAAAAGTACAAACTAATAGAATATGCTGCTGTATGGGCTCTACTTGATTTTCCTTTACAGAGGCCTGAAGGTCATCTGTAGCTTTTTTTGCTGGACTAACTTGAGATGGCTGGAACTTTTTAGGCCAATTTCTTTCTTTTTATTTCTTTAAAAATGTGAAAAAACTGATTGTATTAACACCTGGCTAAGATCAAATCACAAGGTAAGCCAGACCACCTCCAGGCATGGTTTGGCTGATGCTACACTCCTATTACAATGCATTCTGCGTGCATTTAGACCTGCATTAAAGGGAAACTTTTTAACCAGCTTTGTATCATTACTAGGCAGTGCTGATCCAATATGAATCTAGATTCTGTCAGTGCATTGCCTATTTATTGCGTCAGATGTTTTCACAAACACATTTTAGTGTACTGCATCTGTAATACAAGAAAGTTGCTGCTTTAAAATGGAAAAAAGCCCAAACCAATCACTGCCCAACTCGCAGGAAGGGAATACCACAGCCCTTTTTCTTTATTTCAAAAATATCTGCATCGTTCTACTGCAGCCCAGTTTTAGACCATCTTTTCAGGAGTGAATCAGACACTCGTCCAGACAAGATATTTACACATACTGCATATTAACACAGTGTGTAAATAAGACCTAATATTGCAGTAAACTTGTAATATAAAGCCACATGTATAAATATTGTGTTTGGATAACATTGGGATTAGTCAGGTCTGGCACAAGCCACTTTGCCTTATCCAGTACATGAGATCACTTAACAGAAGCTGCAGCTCTGTAATTCATTGTCATTGTCTGTAGATAGGCCTTCTACTTGCAAATCTATTCTTCACATTGTATGAAAGGGCAATAAAGTAAGTTGGGTTAGTCACGTGGCAACATCAATAACCAGGGTTCCTAAACCTGTAGGTGATGATATGATGTGAAAATCTAGTTTTGCCATTTTGGTTTTAGATCAAACATCATTTCAGTGACCTCTTGCAGCTGTGAAGTGCATATAGAAGAAAACCCCTGGTGATGTCGCATTTAGAAACCCATGCACAGACACCAACACAAAAATACATGCACACACATATAACACAATCCTTCCATAGCCAGTAGCGCTGAGCATATAGTGACACCTTAGCAAGTAGTTATATTTAGTTTGTTCAAAGTCTTGTTGCTAGGAGATGTGCAAATTATAGGTAGCCTACATTGGCTCTAAAACTGGAAATAAATTCTTTCACATTAAAAGCGAACAAAAGAGAATGGTTAGTCTGTAATGAGCTGATGAACTCCCACACACACACAAGCCTCAGTCACACACACCCACAGCCTGAACATTTGCTACAGAGTTTCTCTACTCTGCTATCCTGGATTGTGTATCAGCACCGAGGCAATCAACTGATTTGGATAACCAGCATGTACGCAGAAAAACAAGCAGTGGGAAGAAACTGTGGCCCACTCCAGTGAGGAAACTGCAACTGTGTTCAAAAATACATGTAATTGGACATAATAATACTTATTATTATGAAAATATATATTTGATTTCAACTGTGGTAAATTAGCATTGATGGTGCAAGCCAATATTACAGTTGTGACAGTTTTGATATAGATTTTTTTTTAAGGGTTTTATTGCCTTTATAGTAAGTACACCAACTAAAAATGGAGAGGTTGAGGTTTCTGATGGGTTGCGGCTCTCTCCGGGCTCTCAGTTAACAGCTTTACATCTTCCCAGATAGTTTCCAGACTCGAAAGGTCAGGACAAAACGCTGCTTTTTAAAAGCATCCGCTGTGTGTTTCCTGTTGTGCAAAGCTGAGTTCTGGAGTGTACAGCACCGAGGTCCTCTAGTTTACCTCCACAGAGCTTCTGGTGAGTAGGTATGTTGAGGAATGTTTTGTCCTCAGAGGCTATATAAGCACAGGTTACGTCCCTCAGGCTCCAACTGTGATTCCTCTGACCAAAGTTGTGATTTTAAATGTGTGTGCAGTCTACAAAGTATCGCACTAGATATCTGACAGACTAAAAGATAAAATAGTTCTGGTCCATCCAGGTTTTCGGCTGCCTTGCTCTTTGCTCAGTGCGAGGTAGGGCACAGAGCACGCCGCTTGCAGAGGCAAAGTGCAGCGCGGCCAGCTAAAATACATT